TCACATTTATACTAACCATTCCAATAAGATACAGAAATGTCACTTCTATATATTCACCACACCCCTATCTCTTTTGGCTTTATTCTTATACATATTATGTCTCTTAATGTTACAAATGAAATAATACATTGCTATAATTGTTATTTTATCATCTATAGTCATTTATGTAGCTCAATAAATGTTGGTTGCAACCATCAAAAAAGAAAAAAAAAAGATGACCTCTTAAATAGTAAGGTTTAAAAGTAAAGGACAGTATAGACTGTAGAAAGTTGTGGATTGGAATCCTATAGATTTTAACAAACTTTAAGATAGAAAGGAGGGCCTCTTTGAGAGCAATGCAGGCAAAACCAGCCCTGGAACTTCCTTTCAGCTTTATGAAGCACGATTCTAAAAGCAACACATCTTGTGGTGAGTATAGAAATAAGCCCATGCATTTACAGCCAACTGATTTTCAACAAAGGTGCTAACACATGGTGGAGAAAGTACAGCCTTTTTTAATAAATTGGGCTGGGAAAATTGGATACCCACATGCAGAAGAATAAAAGGAGACCCTTATCTCTCACCAGTTGCAAAAATCAACTTTAAATGGATTGAAGACTTAAATGTGAGCTCTGAAACTGTTCAGAGAAAATAGATGGAATGCTTCAGGATATTAGAATGGGCAAGGATTTATTGAACAAGACCCCCAAAACACAAATAACAAGTGAGGTCATATTAAAGAAAAAGCTTCTGAATAGCAACAGAGACAATCAACAGAGTGAAGACACGATCTACAAACTAACCCTATAATGAGGAATTAATATCTAGATAGATATGAAACTAAAATAACTCAATAGCAAAAAAGCCAAATAACCCAATTAAAAATGGGCAATAGGCCTAAATACATATTTAACAAAAGATACAAATGACCAAAAGATACATAGAGAATATCAATAATGATCAATATCATTAATCATCAGGGAAATGCAAGTCAAAACAAGATATCACCTCATCCTAGTAAGAATGACTATTGTCACAAAGACAAAAGATAGCAAGTACTGGCTAGAAGGCAGAAATAAGAAAACCCTGCACACTATTGGTGGGAATATAAATTAATAGAGCCATATGGAAACCAGTGTGGACATTACTTGAAAAATCAGAACCAGAACCACCATATGTCCTAGCAGTCAATCCCACTCCTGGGTGTACATCCAAAGGAAATGGGACCTGAAGGTTGAAAAGACATCTGTACTCTCACATTCACTGCAGAGCCAAGAAAAAAAAATGGATCACCTGATGAGTGGATGAACAAAGGTACTACATATATAATATGAAATACTGTTCAGCCATAAAAAATAATGAAACCCTGTCATCGGCAACAATGTGGATAGAGCTATAGATCATTAAGTGAAATTAGCCAGGCACAGAAAGATCACTTGATCTCACTCTATATGGACTCTAAAAACATTGATTCCATAGGAGTTGAGAGTAGAATTGTGGTTACCAGAGGCTGGGGAGAAAGGGGAGGAGGGCGAGATGGGGAAAAGTTGATCAGTGGTACTAAGGTACAATAAGTTAGAATAAAGTTCTGGTGTGCTATTGCATGGTAGGCTGACTACAGAAAATTATAATATATTATGTTTTTGAAAAAGCTAGAAGAAATGATTTTGAAAGTTTTCACCAATGATAATTTTTAAGGAGATAGATATATATAACATGATCTAAACGTGACACACATGCATGTATTGAAACATCACATGGTACCCCATAAATGTTTTTTGTTTGATGTATTAGTTAAAAATGAAATAAAATAAATAAAAGCAACATATCCTTAAAACAAAAGGGTAAGTATAAAAGAAAGTAATTAATAGTAAATCGAAATATAATCCAGGAATTTTTATGTAGGTGGTAATCTACCCTCAGAACTTCCTTAATCAGAACAATTTCAAAGTCACTACTTAGAATTTTTACAAACAGCAGATATTTTGAAGAGCAGATACTATTTGGTACCTTCACTACATGGTTGAAATTGTGATAAATGGGGGAAAATATGTATAAACATAGATTATGATTACTCAATGCTGAATGTGATCCTGCTCAACTTCTTTGCACCAAAATCATGGGTATTAAAACAGATCCTGAAAATTAAGGTATTCTATGGATGGGAATGGCAGATAGACATTTAGTTAAGGTTGGGAAGAAAGTCAGAAAACAAGACAAATAAACCAACAAAGAAAATCTGCTACTGACATGCAATAGTTTCTTCAGCATGATATGTAATCCTTCAGGTGGGCGAGAATCCTGCTGTACTCTCTGAAGAGATATTCTGCCATGGAAACAATATTCTGCAAACTTTCTCTAATCTATTGTATTTATAGCTTCTTAAATTTAATAAAATATGATGTTTACTGTGTCAAATAGTTAACTGGATGTAAAACAACAAATAAATCCAAAATCTTTTTGACTTGACTTGATTTTTTCCCTTGTCCTTCTGAGAATCTGTGAGTACAGGATAAAAGGCCAGCATTTTCTTCATGCAATCTCTTCCCCAGATGTGGAAATGCTTAGCTGGAGTAATCATTGGGTTCACTTTTCAAAAGAATAATAAAGAGCTGCCCCTTATTCCCTCCATAGAGTCACACTGACATGGAGCAATCAAAGTAACCTATTATCAGAGAATCCCCTGCTTTGTTCAAATTATAAACATCAATGGGCATCTCTCCTGGGACCTCAGAGAGCATGCAAGTGTGGGTGAGGTAGGCTGGGTGTTAGCAGGATAAACTAAGTTTGCTTGACGCTTTGTTTTAGCAAAGACACCAGAAAGTGTTATTACGGTTCACTTGGGTTTTGCACTGATCATCAAAATGCTGACAGTCACTTAAATCACTCACTGGGTGGAATAATCATCCTGAAAGGAATTGAGAGGGTACAGCTTATATTATAAAATGGAATTGAGCACATGAGACAAGAGTATTAATGGGTGTGGCAGAAGAGATCTTTCTCAGAGTTACAGAGATGATTAAAGACGTGAATCAGACATCATCTCCACCAGGTACTCTTAGTGACATGAACACAACAGCTAAATTGCACAATTACAAAGTTAAGCATAACTCAGAGAGCATCTTTCTCTTTTTGAAGCAATTGATGCCAAGTTAGCCTGTTTGAATCACTCAGTGTTTTGCCTTAGAGATGGTGAGGGATCTTGCCTGTGCAGTCCTTTGAGACTGCATAGGATAGAAATCTGGAATGCTATGCCAATGGAAACAAGATCATATTACAATTAGACACTGCTGGCCACCACATGAGAGGATCCCTTGTAAACATCACTAAGAAACCTTCCCAAGCAGCCCTGCATTTGCAGGAGCCACAAGAAGTCAAGAGGCATGTGGTTCCTTTTATAGAGCTGTTCATTTTGATATCAGTAAACAGAAAATTAGCCCTTTATGACTGGGGGTGGGGAGAGTGGGCTTGTCTGGGAGATAAAATGGACAATTTCAACTACTGCTTGTGATAGAACTGCCTGCTATTATGAGGTTCTAAAGTTGGAGGACCTTTTAAGTATATCTCCTCACAGAGTCAGCTCAAATGCAATACTATATTTACTAGGCATATGCATTTTTTATTTTTATGGATTTCTGAGAATAAGTGTATAATTTTTCCATCAGATAAAATATTTTAAATTAAAGTATAAAAATTATGTTATAAAAATAAAAGTATTAAAGAATAATATTTTAAGAAGATTTCTAAAATAGATGACAAAATCTCCCTTAGAAGCCCACTCCCTCTGTCCCTTCTACCTGCCCTTGTTGGCCCTCAGAGTAGGGACGTAATCAGCATGAGACTGCAGGCAGAGTGAGCGTTCAAAGAAGGTCTCGGACTCAGCTATGGATCCTGTATTTCAGGGAATAATTTACAAATTCATCCACTCCTTTTCTATCTCCAGGCTGGAATCATGGTTAATCAAATAGGAACTCATCAAACGACAGTGATGGTAACTCAAGAGTCTACAGTCCAAACAACATCAGCATTTTCTAATAATCATCTGAGAGTTAACCCTAAAGTGAAATACAGAGCTGATTTTGCTGCTTTCTTCCTCCTGCTGCTATGTGCTTTTTGCTGTCTTGTTTTTGTTTCTCCATTCATACATCTAAACCTGCCTTTTACTTTATTCCTTCTTCACATCAGTTTTTCTTGGTCTCTATTTTAACTACATCTTACATACATACTCTTAAAGCAATGCTGTAGAAAAAGTATTTATTTTATCACCATTAAAAGTTTATGTGCCCTAAAGTTTTCAAATTATTTTTTTCTGAGTCATTGGTCCTCGAGAAAGTTTTCCCATTCTTATTTCACACTCTATTCTTTAATTTCCTTGAAATCTATAATTGTTATCTCTCAGCCATCTCTTTTCCAGAATAATTGCTGTCCTCATTACCTCTATTTTCTAGCACCTTAATTGCTTCTATTATTCTCTTTTTAGACAGTTTTTATTAGCTTTATATCAAGTTAAAATGAGAACGTAGCCATGCACTCAACCCTGAGCTCTGAGACAATTTCTGCCCTTGAGAAGCTATTATAAGGAGGACCACAGGTACTGCTTTCTGTTCCTGAGACACAGTGGTTCAGTCTGACATGATTTTATGTTTCTAGGGCTTAATATAAACCCTGTTAACATGAGCCTTTCCTGACTGTCCACACCCAACTCAGGGAAATTAGATTAGCTCCTTTCCAGAATTACAAAGTAGTGGAGATCAGTACAGATGGAATTCAGAGATCTAATAGGATCTTCTGACACTCTTTTCTTTTTGTTTGCTTGTTTGTTTCATTTTTTGAAGTGCTAGGAAATTACACCCTGGGCCTTGTGTGCGCCAGGCAGGTGCTCTACCATCCCCAGTCTCAGATCTTCTGACAATATGGCACACGCCCTGTCCCCATATTGTGACAGAAAGACACATTTCAAACAACAGCACTCAGACTAGTTTCTCCACAGTCCTCACAATCTTGTCCTACTAGAGACTTACTCTGGGATGTAGACAGATTGGAGAAAGCTGACTTTGTTCGGCCTGCCAACCATTCCAGGCTTTCATGCATGTTTGCCAAGGCTTTGAGGTCACTGACGTCACGCAGAATGTCTTGTGGAGGGATTAACTTATCACCCAGGTTCCCAATGAGAACTTCGGACTCCTTGCCAAAGGCGGCCCTGAAAAACAAATGAGGAACACATTTCACCCACAGCACAGCGAAGGCAGAGATGTGTGACGCTTTTGAAGGCGTACTGGTGCAGTCACTATTTCACTTTGTGCTGTGTCCTAGGCTTAACTTCGTGACAGAATGGTCATGTACTGGCTTATAATTATTTGTGGGAAAAAGAGTTCTTGGAAGAAGAAAGAGGTAACCCCACTGGTTGCAACTTTAGGAGGAACCAGTATGGGCCTTGTGACAGTGACAGCCCCCACGGATGGTTCTTGTGCTACTCTCTTGTGGGGTCTTTCCTTACTGCTTCTCCAGCTGTGGAAGAGGCACCTGGAGTTTTCTCTGAGTCCCCCAAATGAACAGCTTAGGGTGCCAAATATGATTAGTGTTTCATCGTAAACAAAACCAAACAAAAGACCAAGTTAATCCAGTGGCTAGAAAACACTTTAAAATGTTCAAAAGCAAAGAGGACCCGGCTCTTTGAGGGAGCAGGTTATATCTGAGAAGGATGACTGGTCTTATTCATTTACTTATTCTAAAATATCTGATGCAAATAAACTGTAAGCATCACTTGGAAAGAGAAACCTATAAAAACCAATGCCAAGTTCCTTTACTAACTGAAACGATATAATCAGGTAGGTTTCACACAGAGCCCAATATCTTCAAAATGTTTTCAGGGGTGGAAAAATCAAGTTACATAGGGTTACAGAGAATAGATCTGGAAGGGACCCTGGAGACCACATGTCATAACCACCGCAGAGATGAAGAAACGGGGACTGAGAAAGTGAACTGCTTTGTCTAGGTGACACATGAGCGGCAACGCTGGGCTCACGTTGCCTGGTTTCAATAGCTCTCTTTCTTTCCAATACAGAAAGGGCTAAAATAAGAAAAGATGACTGAGGATAGTGGAAAGAAAAACTATGTTTTTTCAGGAAAATTACACAGGGCAGGTAAGCAGAGTTGATGCTTGGGGAGGTAGGAAGAGGCATCAGGAGCTTTCTCTAAGTCCCACGGCTTTTAAAACACAGAACACCTTAAGTGAGAAGATGCAAGGGCTTTATTTAAGTAGAACAAGGTGAATTAAGTTTCAAGCAAGCAATGAGTAACAACAGGCAAACTATAGTCAGAAGGTGTTTAACTGACAAATAGATCCTAAGAGCCCAGCACTATAGCACTCAATGCTGAAACTACTACCATGATTAGATGTCTATTAAAAATGCTTATCTACCAAGCAGTGACTCATGATTAACCTTATTTCAACAGAGGACTGCCTTTTTAAATGGAAAAGTCATAGATGATTGACTGATTTGAGTAAGTCCTGGTTTTAGGGACAATAAAGTACCATGGACTGAGCACATGAAATTTGAGTGTACCAACAAATCTTATCTGGGATCTTATAAAAGGTCTTGTTGTGGGACCCCAAATGCTGAATTTCTAACTAGGTTCCAGGTGATTCCCAGGCTATTTAGTCTGAGAAGCAAAAGTTAAATTGCAGTCTTCCTTAAATTGCAGTTTGAATCCTGAGTCTGCTACTAGTTGTATTGTAGGATGCTGCTTAATGTCCCTGAGCATGAAGTAATGCAACAATCAGAAAAGGTGATTTTTTAAACTTTCTTCTTCTTTTTTTAATGGTACTGGAGACTGAATCCAGGGATGCTCTACCATTGAGCTTTGTTCCTAGTCCTTTTTATCTTTTGAGATAGGGTCTTGCTAAGTTGCTGAGGTGACCTCAAACTTGCAATCTTTCTGCCTCAGTTTCCTGAGTAGTTGGGATTCCAGGCATGTGCCAATACTGTACCCAGCAATTTTTGACTCTTTTTATTGGGAAAATTTTAATTTCAGAGAGAAGAGTATTACAAACCCCAAGTACCCATATTCCAGTTCAACTGTTAGAAACTCAACATGGAATTTACTGTCCTCACCTCCTCTCCCTCTTGGAATACGTCAACAAAAATCATTCAAGTGATGCTTTTAAGAGTGTATCACAGTGCTTAGAACTCGGTAAAGCTCGTCAGTTGAAGCTATTACTATTCTTAGGTCTGCTGAGATGGCTAGTTATTTAGAGTCAGCCCAAGGCATGTGATGATGAATAAATTAAACAGGTAAGAGTGAGCAACAGGAAATAAATTAGTTCTCATTTAACAAATGGAACCTCATGACACTATAGCATGTGTCCCTGTATCTCACAGAATCTTTAAGAGGTAAATTATTGTGACAGAAATCACTACCCTACCCAATACTCAATATCCCATGTCTTTCTGGTAAGAGAAGCCTGGTATTGTTAGCAATAAACCTCAATTAAACTGAAAATGAACCAAAACAAAAAGTCCACTAAATTTCCCTGTCCCTCTTGTGGATGTGATGACCTGTGACATGTAAACTGAAATCAGATGGGCTTCTAGAAAGCTCTTTCTCTGTTAATCTTAGTTGGCAGGGACCTCTTTTGCCTTCCCACTTTCTGGAATGCAGCCATAGCAACTGAGCTCTTCTCAAACATCAGGTGACCTTGAGTGTGGAAGTAAGTGCTGTGGTAATGGAGCAGAAAGATAAGAGGATGCAGGCACTGATGACATCATGGAGCTGCAAATCTCCCAGACAATATGCTTTTGGGCTTCATGTCATTGCAGAGCAATAGAAACCTTCTTTGTTTAAGTCACTGATATTTCAAGTTTCTGTTACTAGCTGCTAAATGTAATTTCTAACTGACACATCATCTGATTAGCATAAATGATGTCATCCTCAGAAAACTTACTCTGTATGTGTATATCCCTAAAATCCATTTATTGGGAAAGCAAAACCATGTCCCTTCTGTGACTGAGTCCAGAAGACATTTCTAATATCTTCCCCTTGGCTGTCACCCAGTCAAATTGTAAATATTTAGTTTTCTTAATCTGTTCTTATATATCAACTCTTCCAGCCCTTAATCATCTTTGATAGATATAACACAAAGAATGCCTGCAAGCTGGGTGGTTAAAAAGCAACAGGGGAGGCAAACAGCTTTGAAAGCCAGGCTTGAAGCCATTTTTATGCATGTAGGTATAACCCTGGGTGGAATGTGACAATCAAGACGAATGTTAAATTTATGTAGAAGGCTAATCTGTGAGAGGGCTCTGTGGGCCCCAGGCATGTCTGCTGTGCTTCCAGCGCTGGATGCCTGTCCCATTTCCCTTTGGCTCACCCAGATTTGCTTAACCTCTTTAGATGGGAGAGCAATAGACTGAGAAAAATACAAACTGCCTCATGTTGAATACATAGTAGACATCTCATTTGACAGGAATCCATAATCGCCCCCTAAGAACCTGGAATGAGCACAGAAGCCATGGCATGGAGGATAACTGATTGACAGCTGTAACCATCTCACACAAAAACCATTCCTTCGAGGATTTGTGGGTATGAGAGAGCTTGGTGGAAGGTTTTTATGTGTAACAATAACCTTAGAGGGCTGGCTTTAGCTGCCTGACTACAGATTTTTCCCTAAACCCTCTGATTTATTAAATTATAGTATATCTATGCTATGAAAACTTATGGAGTGATTAGAAATTACATAGTACAGAATACTTGATATCATAGGAAAATGTTTGGTATTACTTATTTCTAGCCATGATATGTAGTTGAGTAAATAAATTATTATTAAAATGTATACACTGTATAATAATACAAAATAATTATATATATAAACTGGAAAAAGGATTGGATATCTAGATACTGAAAGTATTAACTATGTGACTGAATCATGCTTTTTGCTCTTCTGTACTTTCCTTATTTCTTCAAGAAACATGTTATTTTTAATTAAAGGAAATACCGAGGGCTGGGGTTGTGGCTCAGTGGTAGACCACTTGCCTAGCATGTGTGAGGTGCTGGGTTTGATCCTCAGCTCCACATAATAATAAACGAGGCCTGCACTGCTACCGCCATTGCTGCTGCCTCTACTTCCACTGCTGTCAGCCTGAGGTCACCTGGAGGTCTTCTTTCTGGGTGCTGCTGCCACAGAAGAAACCACTGCCCTGGATGCAACTGAAGCTGACACTGCTGCTGACCTGCTGCCTGCTGTCAACAACCACCACTGCCACCCCAGCCTAGAGGACTGTTTCGGAGGAGACTCCAGGTTTGGTTGCACGTGGCTGCATATAGTTTGGGACACCAGCCAAAGCTTGAGGCCTGGGTGCCAGCAGGTTTACCACCACAAGAGCTTCTGACTAGGGATTCCAGCTAAGACCACAGGTCCAGTGTGGGGGTGCCTGCAGGTTTGGAGGAGCCTGGGTGGGGTCTTCCTGCTGAGAGTGCTGGTGGCCCTTGTCTTGCTGCCGCATCTCCTGGTTGCTCCTTTGCATGAGTGTATCCCTGGTGATCTCTCTGCAAGTAGGAGCAGCATTGAGATCTTGGGACTGCAGTGTAGCCAACCCTGAGGTATATGAAGCTCAGATTGGTGGGATAGGACTGGGTTTGAAAGGGCTAATCTGGGTTTGGTGGTCCCAAGAGACATTAGAGACAGGGCTGAGAAACTGTTGAACACTGACAGAGACAGTTCCACTTTCCAGCAAGATTTATTTTATTTTTTTGATTCACTAATCTCTCTACCATATTTGGAACAGGATGTTTTTATGCATCAGTTTGTGGAGGATCATGATATATGAATGGTGTTTTGCATTTTTGTTGTATTCTTATGTCTTTAATTGTTCTCTTTGTTCGTATTCTTTCTCTCTCTTGTCTATTTTGTTTCCAATTTTTTTCCAACCAACAACCAATCTATTTCAGCTCCTCTTCCACTCTTCCTGTGAATTTTTACTTCTAACTTCTCTCTTCCTCCTTTGTGAATACTGCATATTATACTATCTCTGTTCTCTCATCTACCATTTGAAATTGTAAATCATTTTTACAAATATTCTCTTTGTACTGTAGATAGCAAATATACTTTCTTCTCAGCAGCATTCTCATTTCAGAACTCATCATTTTGGTTCAATGTGAGAAAGCAGTAGACGCCTTAGTGGGAGCTATTAGGTTTAACGC